GAAGCCCCTGCTCTGCGGCCCTGCCGCGGGAGCCTCCCCCCCGCCGGGCCCGACGTCTCGCTACCGACGCCTGCCCGCAAGCCCCCTCGCCCTGACGGAAGACCCACTGCTGGAGACCGGCTGCAGGGGAGTCGGCAGGCCAGGGCGAGGGGCAGAGGGCGTGCATTTCTAAAACTCTGCTTCATCGTTTTTAAATGATGTTTTACAAGGTCTCTCTGTTACAGTTTTAAACTTTTGTTTAGTAAACATGTTTTGTAAATTGCCTGGGGTCTCTCCAAGGGCAGAAAGGCAAGAGAGAAATAAAATAAATAATAAGTAAATGAAATAAAGTCACAGGAAACAAGCCTGTTTTGGTTCGTTGTTTCTGTTTTTTTTATTATTATTGTTCTCAGCTTAGCTGCCCAAAGTACTGCCTGGTCACTAGATAGGCAGGACAGAAATATAATTAATAAAATAAATAAAATGAACAGGAAACAGGGTGATTTTTTAGATAACCTGTACTCTAGAACCCTGGTCACAGAGCACACAAGAGGCACTACAAGACGGTGCTCATTACTAAAGGGGTGGCATCTTAGGAAGTGGCTCAAAATGTACTATTAATATACTATTGCTGGTTTGAAAATACAGGCTGCTGTTCTATAACATTCAATGTAGATGTTAGGTAGGACTTCCCAAGAAAGGCTTTTTCTGGTGCATTAAAAGTGCTGAGGATGCAAACCAATTTAAAATGAAGAGATGCTCTGGGATAATGCTTATAACCCATGGAGGTGTTCTGGGGATCCAGCTGTCCACTGTTCATGGCTGGAGGGGAGTTGGGGGCAGAAAGCTTCATAGGGCACCTTGGGCGAAACCTCAGGCTGTCCCCACCGTTCCCTCCACAGCGGCAGAAAACAGAAGCCCCGTCCAAACACGGCTGGTGAGGGCAATGGACTCAGAGTGCTTTAGGACGGGGTTAGATACGTTACAGCCGGAGCACAATGGCTGCCAGCCACGGATACCCTAGTCATGGATTACCGCGCCGTTGATGAGTCGATGAAGGGAAGCTAAGGGTATAAACAGCAGCCGGGAGAGAGCAGAGGTTCGGGCATCCATCAGACTCCCTGGCCTCACTGATGAGAACTAGCATGCCCACACAGGAGTGTCAAGGGCCCCTGCCTGCCTCTCCCGCTGGTGGGCCTGCCTCCCTCCCTCCCTCCTTCTGGGGCATCCAGATGCCCATAGTGGGAAACATTGAGGCTGAACTCAATGGGACCTCTCAGGAACCCCAGTGGCCTTCTGGTGGAAAGAGAGGCAGGCAGGCAAAGGGCAATTCGCAGAGACCTCGCTCCACTTACCATTTTCAACATGGGCAAGTCTGTGCACGAGAGGTAGCCACACAAGGCACTGGGGTGGCGGGTCAGCCATCAACGTGTCTAAAAACATGTTTAACGTAACCTTTTTCTGTAACAAAAGATGAAGAGACAGGGAGGAAAGACAAGAGTGAGCAGACAAGCGTCACCCAGCAAAAGATGAGAGCTCGTCATGGACTCTGGCACAACCCGCCCAACCGACCCTTACCTTAACATCCTGTTGATTCCAATGAGACAGCGAAGGGCCTGCTTAAATCTCTCCTCCCCGCACCACTCAAGACCCGCTTGGCTTAAAAGAGGAATCATTCTGCTTGCATTTATCTGGCCCAGCATTTTGCAGTACTCAATATGCTTGCAAAGGTTAGCCCAGAAAACCCCGCAACTATCTTGCTCCAACTGGCTACCAAATGGTTTCTGGGCACAATTCGAGGTATTGGTTTTAACTTATAAAGCCCTAAAATAGCCTGCATCCAAGCTGTCTCAAGGACCATGTCTCCCATGATGAGCCTGCTCGAGTGTGAGGACCATCAGGGGAGGGTTTCCTCTCCTGTCCCGTCACCGTCACGGGTGTCCTTGGTGGGGGAGACACAGGCGAGCGGGGCCTTCTCGGTAGCTGCTCCCAGACACTCTGGGACTCCCTCCCACTGGAGGCCAGGCTGGCCCCATCTAGGCTCTCCTTCTGCAAGCAGGCAAAGAAGACCTTCCTCTTCAGGCAAGCTTTCCCTCAGAGACTGGCTGCCTTAGTAGGAATTTAAATGAACTGCGGTACCTTAACGCTTTGAATGTGTTTTTTTGGTGATGCTTTTCTTTTTTTTATTATGATACTTATTTGATCCTTTTTAGTATTTGTATAGTTACTGTGTTTAGCTTTAAATACTGTGGTTTTCTTTTAACGATGTAAGCCACCTTGGATACTTTTTTAAGCAGAAATACAGGGTAAAAATATTTTAAATAAAAATGAATAAATAAATACATACATAAATAGTATCACTGTCTAATTGCAGAGAGGTGGAAAACTCACCCTCTTGGGCAAGACTCAACGCTCTCTTTGCAGGTAAGGGACGTGGCTGATTTGATGATGCAACCTGAACTGAATCTTCAGGTCGCTGGGAAACCACGTGACCTGCTGAGACTATTTTATCTCGTGAATCTCTGAGACCCCCTCAGAAGCGCACAACATCCAGCACACCTTCTACACGGCGCCTCTACAGCCCCCCTCCCCCCGTGTCAGATGTACCTGCTGAGGGAAACACGTTCGCACAGAGTTTTCTGTGTATCCAAAAGAAGGCCCTTCAAACACAGCGGTGGGAAGTTTCAGAACCTCCCTCAAAAACTGGTCAAACTTTGAAAAGATCATCAGTCCATTGGAATCCGACATTTGGGAGAAAATATCTGAAACACACAGCAAAAGTGAGGTTTGGATTAACAATGGTTCAACGATTACCTTCATGGTACAAGCACACCTTTGACCTTTGCTGCAGAAACCATGTGAGAGATTTTGAGCACCTGTGTCCTTTCCTACAGTATCTCCCAAAGAATTTAAGGTTGTTCCCTCCTCTAGGCTGTGCTCTTGCCTCTAAACATTACAGCCTAATTTCTTCTTCCACAGGGGGGGGTTTGGATTAACAATGGTTCAACGATTACCTTCATGGTACAAGCACACCTTTGACCTTTGCTGCAGAAACCATGTGAGAGATTTTGAGCACCTGTGTCCTTTCCTACAGTATCTCCCAAAGAATTTAAGGTTGTTCCCTCCTCTAGGCTGTGCTCTTGCCTCTAAACATTACAGCCTAATTTCTTCTTCCACATGGGGCTATTTATTTATTTATTTATTTAAATTTATACCCCACCCATCTAGACTGAAGTCTACTCTGGGTGGCTAACAATAAAAATTAAAATAAAAACAATATAATAAAATAAAAAACAACAATAGTAATATAGTTCAAGACGGGGGGGATATTCAAGTGATGACAATTGTGATGGGAATTTAAAAAGTTGTTTTTCTTTTTTAAAAAAAGATTTGTGAATGAAATCCTTGGCTGTCTTTTGACAAAGCCCTTTTGAAGAAGTGTTGTGGAGGAATGAATTCTGAATTTTAAAGGTTTAACACAAGCTAACCCATTATTGGAGGGGGACATGGTGGCCGTCACTGCTGTCATTACTCTTAAAGATTCACCTAATAAATGAACATAGCAGGGAAGAACTGAGGGATATGAACAAGCATTTAAAACACTATTAACAGAGAAACCAGGATGCTAAATATAGCTGGTAATTCAGTCCACCATGCTCTGAGAGGGAGTCTCCCTGCAGGCCATTGTGGAAGTCTTCTTGGCATTGCCGTAGCTCACAAGCTCAATATGAGCCAACAGGGTGATGTGGCTACAAAAAAGGCAAATGCTATTTTAGGCTGCATTAATAGAAGTATAGTTTCACAATCCCACAAGGTGCTGGCCCCCCTCTATTCAGCACTGGTTAGGCCTCCCCTTGAGTATTGTGTCCAGTTCTGGACACCACGCTTCAAGAAGGATGCTAACAAGCTGAAACAAGTTCAGAGGAGGGTGACAAGGAGGATCAGGGGACTGAAAAAAGGCCTTATGAAGAAAGGCTGAAAGAACTGGGCATGTTTATCCTTGAGAAAAGCAGACCGAGGGGAGAGAGGAGAGCACTTTTCAAATATTTGAAAGGCTGCCATACAGAGGAGGGGCAGGATCTGTTCTCAGTCATCCCAGAGTGCAGGACACACAACAATGGGCTCAAGCCACAGGTAGCCAGATTTAGGCTGAATATCGGGGGAAAGTTCCTAACTGTTAGAGTAGTACGACAGTGGAACTAATGCCCTCAAAGGGAGGTGGTGAATGCTCCAACACTGGAGCCATTCAAGGAAAAACTTGGAAAATCACCTGGCAGATATGCTTTGATTGTATTCTGCAATGAGCAGGGGGTTGGACTTGATGGCCTTGTAGGCCTCTTCCAACTTCACTTTTTTATGATTCTATGATTCAGTGGTTCTGCTGGTGAAGGAGAAACCCAGGAAGAGAAATCTGTTACACTTCTGACTGAGATGCAGAAAAGCTCAGGATAAAGAAAAACAGTTTAAAAATCACACTTCATTAAAGCTTTTGTGAACAAGGGATCATGGCCTAACTGAGTTGTGACTAAAATAAGGAGTTCTCTTATAGTGTACACTGTAAGACATTGTTGGGGGGGGGGATCCCAGGGTTGGGTCCAACTCCATCATCCTCCAGGTGCCCTCCCCGGGGCCACCCTGTCCCTGGAAGGAGACCATGCTGCATGCAATGAAGCCACCAACCCTGCCAGAGTCACCAGTGAAAGGGGGGAAATGAAGACGACGAGAGGGGCCTGCCCAGAGAGTCTAGTAGACAGGGAACCATTGGGAAATGGTGGCACTAGGCTATGAAGGGGAGGGAAGGAGACCTTGAAGGTATAACAGGGGAGGGAGAAGGCAATGAGGGGGGAGGGCTGGTGGCAGCAGGCTGTGAAGGAGGAGAGGGCAAAAGAGGATGGCAAAAGGGGGACCTGGCTGCCATCGCTGGAGCAGCCTCACCCTGAGCCCCCCCCCAAGAAGCTGTTGCAAGCTTCGAGTTTCAACTGGCCACGAGATGCAATCGCTCAGAGGGGACCCCAAAGCAGCCCCAGCAGAGCCTGTCCTGACAGGGGGACTCCGACATAGTCGCAGGTCTCTGACGGCTGGCAGCCAGGATGCAAGCCATCCTGCACAAGGACCTCCTCTACCCACAACAGAGGACCCAGGCAAACGTTCAGCCCCCCCCAGAGACTTGCATGCGGAGGGGGAAGTAGCTGCTCCCCATCTTTAGATGTGGCTGCCCAGAATCAGGCTGATGGGGGTGGGTGGGGAGGTAGTTTGGAGCTCTCTCCTTGGTTTAGTGGAGCTGCAAAACAAGATGAGACTCTGACGCTTACGTCAGGACTCAGGGGTCCCTAGGACATGCACAGAGGACCTGGAGGCCAATATCAGCGTTTACCATGATTTCAGATCTTTCCAAATTGTTCATGGCTTATGTTGCTTTCCTTCTCTAAGCCTGAAATCCTTTTGATACAGGGTGGGATACAATCGTTTTAATAAACAAATAAGGAGGTATACAAGTGGACTGTCTGGAGGAAACATGATCAAGGACTAACTCAAGAATGGGAACAAAAACCACAGCCAGTCACCTCCTTCAAGCAAATATGCACTATTCTTGACTTAACTAGAAAAAATGCAAGTACAGGATCATTTCTGTAACCAATGGGTAGAATTTTACCCGCAAGGAATCCTGGATGCTGCGTGGTTCCCGCCCACAGAATGGCTGGAAGGGAGACCGCCCTCCAAGTGCCAGGCTGTCTTGGTTTACTCGGCAGGTATGAAGAGGCTGCTGACAAAAAGGGTCACTCCCGTAAAATACTCACATCTTAACTTGTCCAGAATTTTTCCACCACACATAGTTGCCAACATTGCTTTTATGGAAAATACAGTCAACTTCCCATGGCCCTCGCTGTAAAAGAAAAACCACGATTAATGTGTGAAGTACCAAATCATTAAAAGAGCACTTTCTGGCAAACCCTTCGCCTACACTCACGAAAAAAAATTCAGCAAAACAAGAGCAACATTCAAATAACAAAAAAGATCTTCAGCCATGCTTGAAGCAAGAGAGGTAGTAGGGCTGTGCAGGACTTCACTAGCCCTTTGAGCTGATGTTATTGCAACCAAAAAGACTGCTTTGAGAGAGAGGAGTTTTAGGTCGGTGGTAGCCATGAGTTCAAACGAAGGCTTTGTAAGTGAGTTAAGGATGACCTGTAGAGACCACTGCGGGACAAGGGGTCGGTGGGTAGGTCGCGTGTTACGAAGACCCGTTAAGAATCTTTTAAAGTTTGGATGTGAGAATAGTCAGGCCAGTTCAGAGTGTGGAGGTTGGTGTGCAACAATCGCAGAGATACGGATCTTCAGTGTGGAGTGAGACAAGCCACGGTGAAAGAGATGTAAAATGAAGGTAAGAAGAGTCTTTAGAGAGACTGGTGAAGATATCAAGTTATTGGAGGTGGTGAAGGAAGAAAATGATTTCCATTTCTGGGTATAGAGGAGCTGAGTTGAAGGTTTTCCAGCTCTATCAAGGACAGCCTTTAAGGTAGGAGAATCGTCCATGCTGTAAGCTTGAGAGACATTAGATCTGGATGGTGGATCGCTCCGTTGCTTTGTGTCAGGAGGTGGAGAATGGACGGGAGGTGAAGATGGTCTGATGACATCTTCTTGAGCTGGGTGAACCAAGGCTGTCTGGGCCACCATGTTGTGATCCAGATCACACTGGATTGAGACTGACAAAGTTTTATGATTGTTCGTTGGATTAGTGGAATCGGAGGGAACAGATATAAGATGTTGTGAGCCCGTTCGATCAAGAAAGCGTCTCCCTGAGAGTGAATGCCTATTCCCGCTCTGGAACAGTACAGGGTGCACTTTGAGTTGTGGGGAGAGGCGAAAACATCTATTGTAGGGGTGTTCCAGTGGTTGCACAGTTGGTCAAAAACAGTGTTGTCTAGTGACCATTTGTGCATTGATGTGGTTAGCCTGCTGAGATGATCTGCTAACGAATTGTCTTGAGTAGCTACATGGACTGCCACGGGAAAAACGTGGTGGGTGTAGCACCATTCCCAAAGTCTTATTGCTAGATATAGAAGGGAGAGGGAGTGTGTGCCTCCCTGTTTGTTGATGTAGAATAAAGCGGTCATGTTGTCTGTGGCGAGTTGGATTGCTTGTCCAGAGATCAAAGGTCGGAAGGCTCGAAAGGCTAACAGCTCTAGATGGTTTATATGAAGCCATTTTTCTTTTGAAATCCATAGGGCGTGAATCCTGCGTCCTTGACAATGAGCTCCTCATTCTGAAGGGCTAACGTCAGTTGTGACATGTGTCGTGAGCTGGAGGGGAGCAAACAGTCGACCGACGAGGAGATTTGGACAATAAGTCTACCATGGAAGTTGGTTGGAGAGTTCTTTGGATACTAGTAGCTATTTGTAGGGGTGATCCTCTAAGGGGTCGAAAAGAGAGAGGAACCATGATTGAAGAGACCTCATTTTTAGACTTGCATGTTGAATGACTGCCATTGTGGAGGCTATGAGCATGAGAAGATGCTGGGCATGATGAGCTGTGACATGTTGATGAGGCTGAAATACTTGAATTCTGTTTTTGAGTTTGTTGATCCCTTCTTGTGGAAGAAAGGCAAGAGCTCGGGAGGAGTCTAATTGAGCTCCTATGTAGGTAACAGTTTGAGATGGGTCCAGGCACGATTTACTTTGAGCCCGAGATCTGCTAGGAGGTTTAGGGTAAAGTGGGCATCGTTCAACATGGTCTGGTAAGAGTCTGAGACAATCAGCCAATCGTCTATGTATAGAAAGACTGTGATTCCCCATAGATGGAGGAAGGCGGCGACAGGGGCGGGACGGTGAAAGTTCAGGGTGCTGTTGACAGACCGAAGGGGAGAGCACATAACTGATAAGCGGTACCATTGAAATGGAAATGGAGAAATTTCTGATGTCGATGGTGGATGGAGATATGGAAATCAGCGTCTTGTAAGCTGATGACTACGAACCAGTCTCCGAGAGAAAGAAGAGGGATTACGATGTCGAGGGTAGTCATTCTGAATCGTTTGGGGTGAATGCAGTAGTTCAGTTTTCTGAGGGCAAGTATTGGGCAGAGACTTCTGTCTTTCTTTGGTACCGTGAAGTAACAGGAACAGAAACCATTGTGGATATCTGGCTGTGGAACTTGGAGGATAACATGTTTCTAGAAAAGAAGAAGTACTTTGTCTTGTAGGGCTCTAGAGAATGGGGTGGTTTTTATGCGAGTGAAAGGTGGTGGGTGGTCGAATTCGATAAGGTAACTGTGAGTGATGATAGGAAGGACCCAGTGATCGTTGGTGACTTGAGTCCATGAACTGAGAAGTGGTGAGAGACGGGTATGGAAAGTGTAGCTCTTGGGCTCGGAAGAGTCAGGGATACGGTTTGGTCTTTTTCCGCTGACGGCGAAATGGCTGTCATTGCTGTTGCTGTGGCATTCTTAGAATCATTTGGCTACACAAAGTAAAGTCCTCTGAAGGGAACAGTGGGCGGTTTTCTGCCACATCAGAGTTTGGAGTGGGAAGATTAGAGGGTGATTCTTGAGAAGCAATCAAAGAAGGAGCATGATTGGAGGTAGAAGAAGCTGGTGAAGGGGAACGGTATAGTGGTTTTTGTGGTAAGGGTTTCAAGGTTGGGGGCTTTTGAGGGTAAAGTGTTTCAGACTCAGATCCAGGGGGCGATGGACCTGAGTAAGTAGTAGTGGCTTGAATGGATGAGCGGTGACTTCGACTCCCGAGGTTGAGATGTAATCAGTATTGAGCATCCCAATGTCACAGAAGGTTTAGACCATTTAGCTGGTGGGTGTTTGACATGTTCCGGATGGTAATTCAATGCTAGTTTGACAGGTTGAGGTATTTGTCAATAAACGGTGCTTCTGGAAGGTCGGTCATGATGTTGGTATCGAGGTGAAGATGGGGAGGGTGATGGAGAGCATGTGGATGGATATGCGATGGTATATCTTACACATTTAGGCGCATCACAGTAAAGGGGCTCCTCGGTCTCGTCTCCATGGGAATATGTGTCGTAGCGTACGTGGTATGGGCCTCGGTAGTCATCTCTCCGATGGTATCGGGAGGGTTCTCTATAATATACATATTCTTTGCGTGGTGGTTAATATTCCACAGGAGAGAGGTGTCTGTTTTTTGCTTGACATTTACGAGGGGGCGATCTCGGCGAATAGTCAAGCTCGGAGATTGATGGAGATCTTGCCTGCCCTGATAGGGCAGGGCTGGAATGGGCCAAGGCTGGGCTGGATGGGACATCTGCCACGGAGGGGCTGATACTCGGAGAAAAACTATCAGCTGAAGCAACGAGCTGGCCTAGAGGCGGAGATGAGACATTGCCTAGATCCAAGACAGTCTCTGGAGCTTCTCATGAAGATTTTTCTAAGATTGCTGATGGTATGGTCTGAGGTGAATCTGGGTGAGTAGGTTGTGAAAATTTTCTTGGTTTATCTTAGTCTTGTCTCTCTTTGATTTAGATGGGTCCTTCGATTTTGGATGCTTCGGTGTCAATGTTGGCTTCGGTCTCGAAGACTTAGAATGGTCTTTTAACTTCGGAGAATTTGTGGCTGGGCTCAAGATGGAGCGAGGTGGGTCTTGCTGAGAAGCCAATGGAGAGTCTGATTCCATCTGTGGAGCAGGTGGATGAAGAGATGTCTCCCAAAGGTGAGATCTGAGATGCTGTAATCTCTGGGTGCTGGTTTAGTTAGTTTTTTACACTCTACAAATTGATGGGTTTGATGTTGCTCTCCTAGGCAAAAAAGGCAACGACCGTCTCCCGTCGGAGAGTGGGATTTTCTTAGTGCAGAGCACACACTGCTTGAAAGGCCCGGAGGGGGGGGCATAAAAGAAACGGGGAAAACGGGGAAGGGAGGGGAGGGGGGAAATAGATCGAGAAGGAAAGGAGAAAATGGGGGAAGTAAGATAGAGAGGAAGAACTCATGAGGGAATGCCAAATAAAGTAAAAACGGGCATGAGGCATGAAAGAACAAGGCTTTCAAAAGCGAAAGTGGTGGCTCTAGCTTGTCGAAAGGACTGACCTCAGCAGTGGCTAAAAGGAACTGAGGAGGTTTTTGACGGGCAGAGCATGCGCTCCACGGGGAAACGTCCCACTAATCACATGTCTTTAAGCTCTAGAAACTTCCGAGAGGTCCTGTGCAGGCGCAGAACAACCCAATTGTGTGGACTCACAGAGACCACGAAGAAGAACAAATGTCACAAAAGGAGCAGGGGTGGGTGGGGTAGAAGATGATCTGAGCGAGTAGTAACCAATCAGCTTGACATGGATCCCAGAAAAGGCTCTAGAAGGAACCACTTAATGCCCATCTTCAAGAGCTTACAAAAGTACCCAGAGGGTTTCAAGTCTGTCCAAATCAAGTCATGCCAGACTAGCTTCCTTTCACTCTTTCTGAAAGAGTCGCAGGCACCATGGACGAAGGGGACGCTGTGAGTGTCACGGACCTGGATTGCACCAAAGGCCTTGGACGTTGCCCTTCATGGCCATCTCACGTCGCAGCCGGTACAACGTGAGTTAGAGGATGCCTCTGGTTGGACGGATATGCAGGTGGTTGTTCTGAGAGAAAAAAAATGGCTCACCAATTCTTCATCATCATCCTGGGCAGAAGCGACAGGTGGGGTTTGTACGACAGGGTTCTGTCCTAAGCCCAGTGTGGTTTAACCTCATTATACATGACTTGGAGGAGGAGGAGGGAGGAGGGAGGAGGGAGGAGGGGAGGCCCATCAGGTGTATACAAATTACCAAACTGGAAGGGGTGGCTTTAGAAGACAGAATTAGATTCAAGATAATTGAATAGCATTCCCTGAAAAAGGCACAACTCAGGAGAGGAGCTAGAGAGCTGCCTCGGCAAAGAGACTGATCTATCATTACGAATCGGAAGCAAAGACAAAGAGAGAATTCATAAGAGAAATGGTTTTTCCCGAAAGAGGCGAGCACATTCCAAGCACCAGGGAAGAAAGATGCAGGGTAGAAAAAAACCACAGAAAATTGAGCCAGTGAAACTTCCTTTTTCCCCATTTGGAGAGAGGTCAGCAGGCACACAGTAAGAGCAAGGTCACCAAATACATATAGCAGAGAGGCAACCAATAACTAGCAAATAACCATCCTCTGTTTAAAGGAAAGATAAAACTCCCTTGGCTTCTGATAACACCCTCAGACTTCCCTGTGTTCTCCTGATCACTGTTCACAGATGGAATAAATAACTTTAATTTGCTCTGGTGAATATATATGGAGAACGCCCATTACACAAGCACCACAGCAAAAATAAAAGCACCTTTCAGATTTATCAAAACAAGACAAATTGATGAAAGACTGAAGATATTCTCAGAAAACAATGAAAGTTGCATTAAAAAGCACTAAAGCACAAGAAACAAAGCAGTTATAATGTGATAATCACAAAGGCAAAGAAAAGAAAAGAAAGAGAGAGAGAGAGAGAGAGAGAGAGAGAAAGAAAGAAAGAAAGAAAGAAAGAAAGAAAGAAAGAAAGAAAGAAAGAAAGAAAGAAAGAAAGAAAGAAAGAAAGGAAAAGGAAAAGAAAAACCATATATAACAACTAAATCCTGACTGATGCCATAAGGGATAACATATCCCACCAACCTCCTGGGCCTGGCATGTTCTCCAACCCAGCTACCATAAAGTATTCTAAATCTCAGCTATGATTGGAATGAAGAACCTCTCAGACAGCTGATCATCCAGGGAAGGCTTGCCTGAAGCAAAAGGTCTTTGCCTGCTTGAAAAAGGACAGCCAAGACGGGGCCAGTCTGGCCTCCTATGGGAGGGAGTCCCAGAGTCTAAAGGAGCAGCCACAGAGAAGGCTCTCTCCTGCATCCCCACCAAAGGTGGTGGGATCGAGAGAAAGGTCTCTCCTGACTATCTTAATGCCCAGCCACACTCATAAAGGGAGACACAATGTAGTAATGCTGGCAACTCCTGTGTGTGCAACACACCGCACTGATGCTTCGGGATGTCAGTTGGCTCTGAGCCTTTTTAACAGCACTGAATAAAGCAATTTGTTACTTTCCTTTTGGTGCAAAAATATCTAATTTAATCCTGAATGTACGAAAGGCTGGGCAATCATCTGGTGGTGGCAGAGCTATGGATGAGTCACATTGCAGCTAGTTTTAGCCTTGACTGCTCTTTCTTTCACCTTGGAGTAGCAAGACACTGAGAGACACTGGGTTGTGACGAAGCAGCAGCTGGGAAGAAGAAGCTGTTGTGGGAGTCTGTGTGTCAGACAGGGTACTACTGTGTGTCAGAGTACCAACCTGATAGGTTCAGGTGTCTGTTGGTTAGCCAGAACTGATAGGTTCAGGGTCTGTGCTTCAAGTTAAGGGTTCTGGGTGAACCAAACTGTATGCTTGTATGAGTGAGAATAAGCCACGTTACTTTATCTTATTCACCTGATTGTTTTATTTTTCCCTGTGTGTATTTAAATAAACTTCATTCTTTTGTTTGTTAAAAAATCCATCCCTGGTCTGTGTGACTTCTTAAAGGGAATGGTTGGTGGCAGCTTAGTGTAACTGTGTGACATATCCCAGTAGGTCTGGGTTTGTCACATGGACCACCTGAATTATTGACATGTCTCTCCTTGAGGGTCAAGTTCGTCCGGAAGAAACCAAATTTGGTTGCAGATTACTGTAACAAAACTATAGACCTGTCGCCAATGTTCCTTTATTCAAGCAAGCTGGTGGAGAAGGTAGTGGCCAATCAGCTTCAGGCACACTTGGATGAAACCATCCCCTTGACCCATTCCAGTCTCTGTTCAGGCCACGTCACGACTGGTCACCCTGCACAATGTCCTTCTGAGAGAGGCAGACAGGGGGCAAAATGATTGATTCTCTGTTGATTTTGTTTTACTATTATTGTTTTTATTTTACTATTATTGGTTTTTATTTTACTATTATTGGTTTTATTCTGTATAGTATTTTTGTCACACTTAGTCTACGTTTCTTGTTGTAAATTGCCCAGAGTGGCCCTTGGCCAGATGGGTGGTATAAAAATAAAACAAACAAATAAACAAAAACAAGACTTTTGCAACTAGGCTGGCATTAGCCACATACTCTTCTCCATTGTCTGTTTTAGAAAGACTATTCAAGACGGAGTCATGCATCTGCCTTCTACTGCCGAAATATGGTGGTCTAGGTCCTGTGGAAACACAGGCGTGACCCTCCACCAACTGCATCATCAGCCAGGTGTTTCAGCCACACGAGTGGCAAAGCCGAGTGGGTGCTGCCCTGAGTGGGTGCTGCCCCATCCCACAAAGGCTCTGGGCGGCCCGACGAGAGAAGCCACTTGCCTGTCATATGCTGCGATCATGAAGTTGAGGAGAAGGCTGATGGATTGCTCCACACTGATCTGGTGAGTAGAAGGAAGGCGTTTATTCAGCTGGTAGTAGATGGATGAGATGATTGTTTCTAGACGAGACACACTGATCTCTGTATTGTGATCCAATGTGTTAAGGCCATTGTCACGGAAGGCTTCAATCATGTTCCAGATATCCACAAGGTGAACTGTGAAGGAAAGAGAAATCACTCTGGGTGGCTTATATATTTCAACGAGCATTCCTTCTACGAAACAGAGCTGTGCCCACTGACATTTCCTTTTGCAAAACAGGTAGTATTTCTCTTGCAAACTCCTCAGCCATCAGACTCAAGAAAGGGTTGATCTCTGGGCTCAGCCTTTGCCACCACTGGTGAGAGCATCAGCTCTACAATCCCACGACTGGCTTAAGCCTAGCATTGCCACAGTGGCCCAAATAGAGAAGTTACTTGCCTGTAACTCTGGTTCTCCAAGTGGTCATCTGTGAATTCACACTAATGGGTTAAGTCTGTGCCTGTGCAGAGGTCTCCGGAATATTCTAGAGCTGAAACAAGCGTTCACTAGGACTGCCCCCTAGTACACGTAGTCCGCCCATCCTAGCAATTGCCTCAGTTCCCCAAAGCCGCTGCTGTCCAAAGAGTGAGACAGACGTGACAGACAGAGGGGAGGATGGGTGGGAAGTGTGAATTCACAGATGATCACTCGAAGAACCAGAGTTAAAGGTAAGTAACCTCTCTTTCTTCTTCGTGGTCTCTGTGAATGCACACTAATGGGTGATTAACAAGCTTCCCTTACAGGCGGAGGGATGTCATGGCAGAACAGAAGACAAGACTGCACGGCCCAAAGCCACATCCGACTTGGCCCTGACGTCCAAACGATAATGTGATGCAAACGTCGACAGAGCGGACCAAGTAGCAACCTTACAAATATCCGGAACAGGTACGCCATGAAGGAAGACACTGCCATAGTGGAATGAGCCTTGATCTGAGTAGGCAAAGGCTTACGAGCAAGCTGGTAAGCGAGGTGGTATAGTGCGAACAATCCATCGTGAGATGGTCTGGGGAGACACCTTTGTCCCTCCCTGTGACAAATGTGGAGAAACAAATAGCCTCGTAGACTTACGAAAGGAAGCAGTCCTGTCAACTTAAAATGCGAGGGCCCTCCTCACATCCAGGAGATGAAAGGATCACTCTAGGTCAGTTGTTGGAGACGAGAAGGCAGGATAATAGGTTGCCGGGCATGAGAATCAGAGACTACTTCGGGAAGGAAAGAGATGTCTGGATACAGTGTCCGGATGAAATTTAAGGAATGGAGGATCTACTTGTCGGACACGACTCAATGACTAAACAACAACAACAATAGCCGACATGTAAACTTTGATGGTAGAGAGTGAGAAATGGCAGTCAAAGAGATAAGATAGAAAGGCAGGAACTGCTCAAGGGGTAGTGGGAGTCGTTGGGAGGTTATTTTGCAGAGCAAACCTCTGGAAAGCAAACCACTTCTAAGAATAAAATTGGTTAGTGGCCGGCTTCCTCGCATGAGCAAGGATGGCGCTTAAGGAGGGCGGATCCTCCAAGCTGTGAGGTGGAGAGAGTGAAGGTTGGCATGAGACGTTTGCCCTTGAAAACAGTACAGTATTACGAAAACAGTCAATCCTAAAGAATAATTATACAATCTATTAAATTTCGTCAGGAACAAGAACTAAGGTGCGCGACGGAGAGCTCAGCAGAAGATGAGACCTCAGAGGCAGCAAAAAGGAGCTGAGGTAATTGCCAGGATGGGTGGACCACCTGTGTTGGGGAGGCGGGGCCTAGCAAACGCGCATTTGAGCTCTGGAATATTCCGGAGACCTCTGCGCAGGTGCAGATTAACCCATTAGTGTGCATTCACAGAGACCACGAAGAAGAGCATGTGTTCATAAGATCCTTGGGGATGTGGATGCGATACAGGCACCCTTCTCCCCCCCCACATCCCCGCACACCCTACGCACAGCTCCTTGTCCAGACCACCACTGGGTGGAAAGAGAGGGGCTCTCCCCATTCACCTCTCTCTCCTGCCTCAGGCCAGCCTTGCCTCAAGCAGGGGACTTCTCCTTGGAGGTGGGGCAAGGAGGCAGCAGGAAGCAGAGAGGGTAGAACAGAAGGTGGGTCCAACCACCCCAAAGAGGGCGCAGCCTGTGAAACCAGCCCACTTCTTTTAAGTTGGGTGTGTGCGGCATTTCTTACTCCCAGAGACGCGACACTCGAAGCTGAAGAACTAACTGGGTGGGAAAGAGCAATGGATTCTAGCTCTGCTAGATCAGGGATCAACTTTGCTGAAATACCGAGGATGCTACAAAGCACCAGCTTTCACAGCCGCCACATTAAAAGTCAGAACAGCTACACTGATGCATCTGACCTTCAGAAGGAGAAGGACCCAAACATGATGATCCTCCTTCTCATTTGATTCTCTGAACCATCCCATTGCTTTGTACTTCACACCCACTGCAGGCATCTGATCCCTCCCGGCCACTTGCTCTGCAGCACTTCTCTGTTCTGTGTGACCCACACCCAAACACACACACACATACACACAGACAGGCAGGCAGGCACTCTCCTCCTGTGATATTTTTTGAAAAAAAATAAAGAAAACTTCCTCTGCATCATATACTCCAATTACCTGTCCTGGATACACACATGGCCCCTCCCACATTCTCCTGTCTCTCAGCATCAATTAACGTGCATCATATACTCCAATTACCTGTCCTGGTAATTACACCACAAATTACACCTACCGCCTCGGGCTCTGTCACTACCCCACATCTTTCAACCTCTCACAAACACACATTTTCCATCTGCACACTGTCCTGTGAGTTTCATGCAGAACCGCAACACTTTTTTTTGCTGTCTTAGCATCACTCTTCACACACTTGTTTTGATAGCAATGGGCGGGGGGAACCATTTCATTTGAGATGAAACAAGAAAATATCATCTTAGCCATGCGAATGTCCCTGTCCACTCTGCATGGCTAGCAAAGCACTCCAACGTGTTTCTTCTGCTCTCCTGCCCCCGATCCAAGTTAAAAATCAAATATGGAGGATGGAAAGGAGGGAGGCCTGGGTAAAAAACCCTCTCATCTCTGCTAACTTGCTATATTTATTTATTTATGCATTTGACACATTTGACATTCCTCCCAGAACGAGGACTCAAAACAGTTCACAACATGATTAAAGATCAGATAGAGACATATAACACTGTAATTCTAATATGAAGACACAAAAATACTGTTGAATTGCAAATGTGAAATTGCAAACAAGGTAAGCAAAGTTAATACGAATAGAAGATTACAGCAGCCAGCGATGTAGCACCCTATCTTTAGCAGCCAGTCAGTTGCTGAAAGCTTGTGTGGATAGAAAGCCTGATTTCAGGTCTAATCAACTAGTTGATGAGCACAGCAGAAGAGGAGGCAAATGTCCCTTTAAGGAGAGATGCTGGAAAGGAGGCTCTGGGACGCCCCCGCTGCCTTCCAGCTTCTTGCTTCCTAGCCAGTTCACTTACCAAACAGCTTCGAGCCATCCTTTTGAACTACCAGCAAGGACTGAAGGATTTTCTGCCTTAAAACTCTACTACTTGGCTCTTTGCACAGATCTGTCCAGTCAGCCGGCAGATGGGATACGATGCATCATGCAAAAAGGCAGACACACAAGGAAGGACCCCAGGAAGGTTATCTGGGCATCCATCTCACCCAGGGCTGTGAACTCCACTGGCAGCCAGAACTGCTCTCCCCTGCTTCAGCAAGGTTCTTACCTTGGAACTGAATATGCTGGAGGTGAAGTGGGGTGCATGTGCTCTCCCACACAGCCACAGACCTTCCCCATACATCTGGTGAAACTTTTTTTAACCATTAGGTACAGAGCTGGACACATTGCAAGGGGGGGTCACCTCTGGCACTCCGAGCAGGCCCCTCTACTCTTGCTCCGTCCCCATCTCCCCCACCCCCACGGAGAGCCAGTTAGAGATGCCTTCCTGCCAGGACCTGGGCAGGCACCGAGGACAGTCTACTGGCTCAGGGACAGAAGGGGAAGCCAACAGGGAAGCCATCCCACCTGGGATGAGGCGTGGAGGTGGAGTTCTGCTTCCAGCTGGCCAGGATAAAGGTGGAAGGAGAGCCACGGAGGAGGGAGCACCTGGAGCCATTTGGGGGGGGGACACTGTCAAAGAGGGGATGGAAGGAGAGCCACGGAGGAGGGAGCAGCTGGAGCCATTGGGGGGGGGAAACTGTCAAAGAGGGGGAGGGGGTCTTTGACTATGCCTTCATTGGAGACCCCTGGACTGGCGTATTGGAGGGGCTGAAACTTCCACAAGGCCACAGGCAAGGTAGGGGATTCTGCCACCTCGACCCACTAACTGGCACCTTTGGGCATGACTGTGCTCCATGGACCAGCAAACCCTGCAACCAATGCAGACGTAGCACTAGAAACACGGAGGTCAAAAGGCAGGGCAGTTGCATCTCCAGGAGGGGGTGGACAGATCTGCAGCATCAAGGTCACTCAGGAGTACAAGCCCTCCTTGAAGGGAGCACCTCGTATGACTTGGGGACGGCAGGACGGTGGACCCATGGAGTTAACCAGGAGCGGTCAGATGGACAGTGAAGGAAACTGAGTCTGGGAAAGGACCAGGGGAGGGTGAAGTGAACCCTAAACTTGGGTCCTTTTGCCCTCCTCGATCCTTTGCAGGAGAAAGGCAGAGTAAAAAATATTTTAAAGAAAGAAAGAAAGAATCAGCTGGAGAATGTCAGTCCCTCAATAAAACCCACTCTGCATTTTGATCCAATTCCTGAGCCTATGGATATCTTTGCTACTGACCATGGCCCTAACACCCTGACACCAGGCAGGGGAGGGGGCACACATACTTACAAAACGTGCAACACCAAAGCCACCCCCCCCCCAGGGTGACCTTGACTTCAGTGAGTTGCCCAGGGCTTTCACTGTACACTAAACAAATTCCCCCGAATGAAATGATTTTTTTTTTCTAATTTTGCATTTCCTGCAATTCTCCAAACAACAGAGGTTTGAATCCAGTCGCTCAGCGTGAACTGAATCTGTACGATACAGGGACGCACAGGGGAAAATATTTCCGATACAGGCTTTTATGAAATTGCGTTCCGAAAGAGTGAAATTTTTGACTTACGGTTACATCTTTTTTGTACAAATCTCAGTTTGCAGGCAGTCCGATACGTTGAAAGTCTGATGACATCAAAGTTCTGAGCCCCTGGAAGACAAAAGCAGTAGAGGAATCTCCTCAAGATGTTTTTGCTTTCCAGCAGAATGAAGCCCGTTCTTATGTTCCAGTGCCCACAGTCCTTGCTGTAGTTGCCTGGCAGAACCAACCTCTGACCAGAGTAGCAAGCTGGGTTGGCACAGCATTCCTTCCTTCCAGATCACCTCGCCTCCCCACTGGCAGCTGGAGTGTTCCTCCAGGCACATGGCTAACTAGCATGCTTGGGAGAACCTGACACTGCCTAGTGTTGGGATGACGACTGACAGATCCTATCCATTAGAAATGTCTCGTTCTTCCTGACATGCTGGATAACTGAGTATATGAAGGGACGTACATACATGTGATATCTATCTATGGCTAAAATTAGCTGCACATCTCAGCTAGAGTAGACTCACTGCACCAAGAAAATGCCCATGCTTGTTCAGGGTAATTACCATAATTGGTTTTATATACATGCCTGTACCACCACCACCCGGCATTCCTATCCATTATAAACTTTTATATACATGCCTGTACCACCACCACCACCCAGCATTCCTATCCATTATAAATGCCCAGTACGCAAATCCGTGACAGACTGATCCTATGGAGGAGTGTTTGCCAGGATACAGCTCAGTATTACAGCCTCAAGTCCAAATTTGCTGCCTGAGGCAAAGCTAGCCGCCAAGTCCTAGGCAAGATGCTCAGCTACAGGCATGAGAGGGGGGCTGCCCCACAAGCATAGAGTTCACACCTTGAATTCAACTAACACTTCTTCAAGGTCCCACGGTATGGAAGGCATAGTGTGGGAGTGAGAACAAAAACAAAGACAGGGTCAGCATTAGAGAGTAAGACCATAACCGATCTTTGGGGCTTTAACTTGACAGCACCACCCTCATCTCTCATGAGACAGGAGATCCAGTAACCTTCTTTAGCAAGGCTCCAGCACATTCTTTCCTGAAGCTGTCATCTGAAAGAGTCTTCTACTTACTCATTTCCATAAACAGCTGTCTCTTCTCTGCCATGGTCCTTCTCCGCTTTCCGCTTTCTTCAATCATCCTAAATGCAAAGTTAACAGTTTCAGCCACAGGGTTGCCTTGAACAGAGGCATAGCGCTGGGGATGGCCTACAAGAACTAAGTTTTGATATTAATCTGTTCGTGCAAGTCACACAGGAGACAGGCAGTAGAAACCATCAGGGCCAAACTGGAAGATGGGCTGGAATGTACAGAGGAGGAGATGCCTGCTGTTCCAAAAAAATAAATTAAAAAAATCTCCACGCTTTTGCTTTTCAGAGACACATCCACCAACAAATGTTGTGGAGAGGGACGAAGTGGAAGGCAAAGTTATCCTTTGAGACTTAAAAGGAGTCCTTTAAAAAAAAAAAACACCTTTCCCTATTTGCACTCCACACATACTTGGAAGCAACTCATGAGCTTGGCCTCTTTTCTAGATTGCTGGAAACAACAGTCATGTTTCTCTTCTTTTTGTCATCCATGTCACTCACCGGCAAATCTAAGTTCTACCCTGTGGTGGTGGAGAATCAAAGGGAAGCTGTGCAATTCCTTCCAGGCTGCCCTAACTCCTCTTTCTGCTCAGGGCTACAAGCTCACATGAAGCTTGGTGGGGCAATTTTGATTTTCACACTTAAAGAGTTCTTGGGCGGTTTTGCTATGAGATTGTGATCCCAGTGATTATGACAGCGAGTGGAGCCACACCCTGTTCCTTGGGCCTGTTTTAAGAATTACCATTCCTTCCAAAAGACCAGATACTGTAAATCAAAAATAGATTTCTCACACATGATAAGATAAATTTTGGAGTGCCAGATTTAAAAAGAAAATGCAACACATCCCATTTCTGATGAAGAAGAGATGAGGAAAAATATTGCAAAGGAAAAGAAAAGCAGCCTAACCACCCATGCATCTCTGTCTGGGCCACCAAAGGCAGGACAGGTGAAACCCATCCGTTGGGCAATCTCTGAATGAATGCAGCAACTGGCCAGTCTCCCATGTGGTCCCAGGTTCACTTTCTCATCAAGTGTATGTTGTTCGACTATCTAAGTTTCTCACACATGATAAGATAAATTTTGGAGTGCCAGATTTAAAAAGAAAATGCAACACATCCCATTTCTGATGAAGAAGAGATGAGGAAAGGAAAAGAAAAGCAGCCTAACCACCCATGCACCTCTGTCTGGGCTACCAAAGGCAGGACAGGTGAAACCCATCCGTTGGGCAATCTCTGAATGAATGCAGCAACTGGCCAGTCTCCCATGTGGTCCCAGGTTCACTTTCTCATCAAGTGTATGTTGTTCGACTATCTAAGAAGAAGAAGAAGACGCCTCCAGTTCGGCCAATACTACAGGACCCTCGTTAACAGGTTTCGCTCTTCTTGGAGCTCATCAGCTGTAGGTAACGGCCTCTTTCCCTGCCAGGTTTCCAAAGGAAGGTGATGATCGATGCCCAGGAAGACACCCAAGCATGCCTCCGAAACCTACCCCATTGTGCCTTCCATTTATAAGATGAGACGCATATTACTTTTAGGATCTGGCATGCATCTGTGCATATTTTACATGTAAAAAATGAAAAAACTTAAGACGAACATGTGCTTCTCTTGCTGGAAGAAATAACTACATTAAGGTTTAAGAGACAGTGCATCAGACCTGACAGGTGGTGTCAGTTATTTCCCCAAAACTGGCAAGGTGTGCCTTTGAAAGAAGATCCCTAGGCAGATGCATGCAGGTAATATTGTCTGGTGGCAGTTTTTATAACCAAGCATGTCCCACAGGAAAAACTGTAAGCTCTTTTGGAATTCAGGAACCAGTACAGCTGTCTCCACCCGCAGCTCAAGAGGGAGGATGGCATATGGCCTGCTGGAAGCTTGAGCTCTCAACCACTCTCAGCTCCGTGCTGCATTCCCTCCTCCTCAGAAACAATTCTCCACAGTCAGATGCTGTGTCTTGCATGCAGTTCCAAACCTAACAAGCCAAATCAGCTTGGGCCCAACAGCACAGACATCCCCTCCCTCTGGATGAGGTCTGAACTTCTCCACAGCAGTTTTCTTCAATCCCCAGGGAAAACAGAACAAACCCCCAAAAAAGCATTTCACTCAACTGATGAAACAGACAGGGCCCACAGAAGTTCATGGCAGAATAAATCTGCTGCGTGTTTCAGGTATCTCAGCACTTTTTGCTGTTCCCTGTTCTTTCTTTCTTTCTTTCTTTCTTTCTTTCTTTCTTTCTTTCTTTCTTTCTTTCCTATTTATTTATTTATTTATTTGATTTATACCCCGCCCATTTGGCCTAAAAGACCACTCTAGGCGGCTTCCAGTGATGACTGAAAAGCATTTTTAAGGTAAGACTTAAAAGAATGCCCATATTTTATAAACTTATTTAAAGCCAATCTACAGTATCAGGCAACTAATATACATGCAAGTTCCCTCACCTGTTCTATCCCTTTTACCATCCTTTTTGCCATCCTCTCCATCATACTTTTTATCACCTTTATTGACGTCTGTTTTAATTTACCCTATTTGGCTTGTATTAATTTATTTATATTTATCGTGTTTTAATATTGTTGTTTATTGTTATGTTAACCAGAGCAGCCTGGTTGCCAGATGGTGCAGGGAAGTAAGTAAGTAAGTAAGTAAGTAAGTAAGTAAGTAAGTAAGTAAGTAAGTATAATCTACAATATTTAAAGAAACAAAACATAACATGTTTAGAAACTCTCATCCCAGAGCCAGAAATCCTCCTTTCAATCTGTGAAAATGTTATTTCTCCTAATTTCACAAACAAACTAAATGGCAGATCAGAATCAGTGCACTGTACTTCCACAGAAACCTGGAAAAGAGGCAGAGAAGAGCAATTCTAGCAATCAATGAGCTGGGAGAAACCCCTGCATGAGCAAACATGCATACAACACGTGGGGCTTCTCAGACAATAAAAAAGGCAAGTCAGTGGATAAAGATACGTAATACAATGGGTGCATACAATTATGCATGGAGTGAAGAAAGCGAGAGAAACTTCTCTACTTCTTTCATTATATTAGAATCCCACGAGGATTCAGGACAGACAAAAAGATGTCCTTCTGCAAAAAGCGAACAGTTAAACTATGAAATTTGCATCCTAGACTTGGACAGCTTTAAAGGAAAGTTACAGAAATTCAAGATGAAAATTCAAGTCTTCTAGTCATACTGACTAGACATCACCTTCTAATAGAGGCCGTAGGCACTATTACATTCATGACCAGCTTGCACACAATGCTGGACTAGTTGAGATTTTCTCTAGTTCAGATTCCAACATCTTTCATTTGCATAGATCTGTCATCTTTTAGAAGGCTAGGCGGGGAAAAAAGAGAGGATCTGTCTTTGAAAAAACAAAGAAATCTTTTAAAAGTGAACAGTGTTCAAAGAAGGGCAGAGAAAAAGCTCATTCAAGTATGACCCCCCTACACACACACACACATGCATGCACGCACGCGCACGCACGCACACACGCACACACACGCACACACTCACAGAGTAAACCTGTTCTCTTGGGTGGTTCAACCTGATCCAGCACACACACTCACACACACACACACAGAGTAAACCTGTTCTCTTGGGTGGCTCAACCTGATCCGAAACAGTCTGAACAGGTTGATAATGCTAACTATCAGAACAGAACAGACGCCTGTTCAAATTAACTTTTCATTCCATCCGCTGCACTGGTTGATGGGTTTTATTTTCAGCTCTTCCTATCTTCTCAGTTGCCAAGGAGCGAGATATGTGCAGTTGCCTTCATTGCCTTGTTATCTACCTGTAAGTTCGGGATTATTTAAACATACACCAGAGGGCAAACCTTCTTTGTTGTCACACCAGGATGCATGCACTCAAACTCCCACTGCCAGTAGGAATGTGTGCGTCACGAAACCATTCATGCACTCCAGTCCAGCCCTCTCCAACACATGGGACTGTAACCAGGCAAACTAACCTCACATGTGATCCTGTCCTCTCCCTATGGCAAAAGTGGGGGGAATGGCTGAAAGAGATCCTGTAGCCCCACATGCCCTTCAGCCAGCCCATCTTCATTTTCTGCTGAATGAAAGGCTGGTCCAAGGATCGCTCCCACAGCCTGCCGGTGGACAGGATCCCACAAGAACTATCTCCTGGATCACAGTGCATCATTTCTTTGGGGTGGGGGGGGTGGGGCAGAGGGGCAACTCAAGATGAAAAAGGCACTATGGATCCGCAAAGTGAAGGAGTCTTTAAGGACCATCTTTTCAAATTGGCTAGCAATGCCCTAGGCAACGCATGGAGTTCCGCTATTAAGCCTTTCTCGAGTGGTTAGCAATGCCCTAGGCAACGCATGGAGTTCTGCTATTAAGCCTTTCTCAGGTGGTTAGAAGCAATGTCTCATACAGTCATTTTCTGGTATAATTCTTACTCTGCTTCCAAGTCCAAATTAATTATTTTCAGAAGATGATAACAATTTTTGAGAAAAGCATCTTGTTATCTTACACATAGCAAAACCCAAGAGAATTTCTGTAGCATGAGCCACAGAGACAGTGACTCTACCTGCCCCAGCAGTGTCTGTGGATAGGGACTTGAAGACAACAACAGAGAAGCAGCACTGAAATGAACAGAAACATCCCAGTGAACCCATCTTTCTATAGTAGAACATGGCAACGTGGCCATAGCAGGGACTTGCCATTTGGCCGTGAGTCTGTAGCTCAACTGCAGGTGAAGTCCATATGGACCCCAATTACAAGCACGCTGCACCAATCCATGATGGAAGCAGTTCAACGTGAACAGCACCATTCCATAGGAGAGATCTTTAGAAAGTTGGTTGGCAGAAGTCCAGTATAAATCTGGATATCACACATTTGTCCAGTCCCAGAGGCCTATGGTCAGTTCATCAAGGCAGTGGAAACATCATCTTGACTGTCCACAACCCGAGGATGATGAACTAACTACTTTTAAGGCCAAATATCAGAAATGGTCACCTAAATAAGTCATTATTTTTCACTATTTGAACAAGAGCTCTTGAATGAAGAAACCACTTTGGCTGGGTAGTAATTAGTTTC